TGCAGCAGGGGAGGGGAGAGTCTGGCAGGCTGTATGTGTAGGTAGGTAGGAAAAGGAGATGCTGAGGAAGGAGAGACCCGTGTCTCTGGATTCAGAGGCATGGAGGAGGATGGTCCAATATTCATGCCCATCAGCGGTACTGCCCAGAGCTTGCAAAGACCGTCAGGACTCAAGGCACAAGTGTGAGCATGATCAATGCTGAAGCTACAGGACTAGAGTCACCAGGAGAGAGTGAGGCCAGAGAGCTGTGGCCCTGGGTAAACCCTGGTCAGTAGCAACAATACCTGTCGTTAGTATACGTTGGAGACTTGTTCTGCAAAGGTGTTGAATAAACAAATGAATGAGAAGCATAAAGGACTCTGATTAGCTGTAGACTTGGTCAGAGGACTTTCTGAGAAAGAGACATGAAAGTGTCTGCTCTGGGGGAGGGTAGACACCAGGAGATCTATTAATTATGTGTCTTGTCTGTGTGTGACTGTGCCAGTGAGTGTAGGTGCCTGTGGAGGCCAAAAGAGGGCATCGCCTGAAGCTGGAGTTACAGACTGTTGTAAATTATCAGGCCTGGGTGCTGGGAGCAGAGCCTGCAGCCTCTGCAAGGGCAGTGTGTGCTCTTACCCACTGAGCCATGACTCTGGCCCCAGATACTGATCTTTATGGAAAGGAAATGCAGTCTTCTGGCTGACGAGATGGCCTACTCTCTCCGGGCAGCCTGAGCCAAGGCCAGTATCCCTTGGCCTCATCGTTCCACAGGAAACTACGTGAGGATGGACACGGAGCTGCAGACAAGACACACAGAGACACTTCGTCATCTCAGGAGGTGGATTCCTGGAAGGCTTGTGACAGAGGGTGCATTTCAGCAACTCTTGAAAGCGGCCCGTGCTGACAGTACCCTGACACTGCACGTTAAAGTCATACTGATGTTTGAGATAAAAGATGGCTGTGGAGAAGCCTCGTGCTTTCCCTCCGATCTCTACCCTTCCCTCCCAGGTGGGAGCATCAGGGCTGTGATGCCCGTGTGTGGGTGTGAGCCTCTGCTGAAGACAGGACTGCAAGCCTTGTGCTTTCTGGATCTCCTCACTTGTAATCCCTCTGCCTCGGGCTCCTGGTGCTGATCACAGTGTGCTCATCTGGGCCGGCATAGAGAATGAGTAGATGGTGTTGAATTCAGAGCAGGAACCGTAATCCGCCACCATCTCCCCCTCAGGGACCTCACTCCGGGAGGAAGGGCATACACTCGCATGCGTTACAGGTGTTCACACACCTGCAGATACACATCCAGCATGGCTACCCTCACACCGCCATTCCATCCCTGCGAACTCACAGCTCACAGGACACCCCAGGCCCAGGGCAGAGGACCCTACAGCTCTCAGAACACCCCAGGCCCAGGGCAGAGGGCCCTACAGCTCACAGAACACCCCAGGCCCAGGGCAGAGGGCCCTACAGCTCACAGGACACCCCAGGCCCAGGGCAGAGGGCCCTACAGCTCACAGGACACTCCAGGCCCAGGGCAGAGGGCCCTACAGCTCACGGAAACAAGGGGTCACATTCTGGGCTACAGGGCCGCCTCCAAATGGCTGACTTAGTAGGTCTACAATATCCAAGAACACTGCTCACACGTTCCCACCGGTGCTTAGGGACCTGACTGAGAACACAGGCTGAGGGGGTCAGTTCAGCACAGAGTAGTTGAGGGCACAAGAGTCTGGGGGTACAGAACCCTCTCCTTCTACCCAGTGACCGCAGCAGGGTCTGTGTGGCCGCCAAAGCCCCAGACTGACAGTAGCGTCTGGCAGCCGTGGTGGGCACCAGTGCCTTTGCCTTGCCCTGGCCTGAGCACTCGATGTATGTTGTCAGCTATGAGCAACTCCCACTTCTCCCGTCCGTAGATGCCCCCGAGGCACTGAAAGTGAGCACCACATGTGATTTCCCGTGCCGCTGAGGAGCAGGTCTGGGGATCCCCGCTCAGTCCTCCTGAAAGTCTTCCAGGCCTGCCATTGCCATGGCTCCACTCGAGGCTTCTGTTGAGGAAGAGGCCATTTTCTCCGTGGCGGAACAGAGGGCCAGGAGCTGTTGGCTCACTTTCCTATGAGGACTTTCCCCCTTTGCCCTTTTGGTCAGGAAGCTCCGAGTTTGCTGTGTGAGCAGTCAGTTGCTCTCCTCAGCTGTGGGGCCTTTAATATAATTATCGCTTCTTTCTTTTAAAAATAAACTTTGTTATCTGTGTTATCTTGCAGAAGCTTCCCAAAATAATTTCAAAACTAGGTGAATGTCATGGATTAATGATTAAAAAGAGGGGCTTTTGGTGGGTTTCCCTCTTGTTTCCTCAGGGCCTTTGAAGAGTGATTTGAGCCAGTTGCGGGCCTGTGAGTGGACACACATGTAGCAGTGATGGTGTTCTTGACTGAGAAGTACCCAGCTGATGGTAGTGTGTGTGTGTGTGTGTGTGTGTGTGTGTGTGTACGTGTGTAAGGGGGCGGGCGCCTTTCCAGAACGACTAACACTGAGTGTGGGGAACACCACTGGATAGGCTGGGGCCTGGGTAGAGTAAGGGGAGACAAAGAAAGCTGGTGAGCACCCCTCCCCCACTTCCTAGCCACTGTGGTGTGAGCTGCCCGGCCCTGTCTCAAAGGACTAAGACTTCAGGCCCCATTAGCTTACAGTAACAAAGCTGAATAGCCCAGCACATGGGGCACACTCGTGTGCAAAGCCAGGAGAGGTGTCTACTTGGTCTCATGTGTGCTTGGACCCAGGCATGGCGGGGAACTCTGGCTCCGCACTGCACACTCAGAACTCTTGACCCCTCAGCCTCATTGTCCTCATTTAAAACGGAGACAACGATTAAACGGACCAGCGATTCAAATGGCAGGGCAGTGCCCGCACACAACAGGCCCATAGTAGGCCTACTACTGTTACTGCTGTGTCTGGCACAGGCCAGACTGTATTCAAAACAAAACAAACCCCCCAAAAAACTGGAGTGCTCCTAGCGAGAACTCCAGAGATGTATGTATAAGGATGACACCAACTGGAAAACTAAGCAGTAGTGGAGAGACTACTTTAAATGCCCCTCCCTGATAATGGTTTTGAGGACTGTCTTATATACCATCATAGAACCTCCATCCAGTGACAGACAGAAGCAGAGGCAGACACCCACAGCTAAACACTGAACTGAACTCCTGGAACCCAGTGACAGAGAGGGAGGAGTGATGAGCAAAGGGGTCAAGAATGGGCTGTTGAAATCCAGGGAAACAGCTAACATGAACAAGGGGGAGATCTTGGACCCCAGCCTGATGGCTGAGAGGCCAGCATGGGACTGATCCAGACCCCCTGAATGTGGATGTCAGTGAGGAGACTCAGGAAATCTATGGGATTTTGGGGTAGTAGATCAGTGTTTATCCCTGGCACACAAATGGACTTTGGGTGCCTATCCCACAATGAAGGATGGTTTCTCAATCTGGACACTTTGGGGAGTGCCTAGGCCCTCCCAGGAATGAAATGACAGACTCTAGAGATCCCCCATGGATGGCCTCACCCTCCCTGGGGAATGGAGTGGGGATTGGGTGGGGGCTGGCGGCACTGGGGGGAAGGAGTGGGCGTGGAGGGGAGGGAGAGGGAGCTGGGACTGACATGGGAAGCAAACTTGTTTCTAATTTAAATATATAATAAAAAGTATAAAAAACAAAACTGGGGTGCGCATCTGCAACTGCTGTAGGATTTTTTTCTAGACTTTTCTGTGTGGAACCAAGATGGCTCCATGTAACACAGGCTATTTGGGCTGAGGAGGGCCATGGAGTTACTCCTCCAGTCGCCCCATATTTCTGATTTCTGATTATAGCAGACCATTGCGGAAGGCTCGGGATTCCTGAGATCATCTGCTTCACTGTCAGAGACATAACTCTTCAGTGGTCCCAGGCTGTCCTCCTTCTCATTGATCCCGCGGCTTGAGCATCCTTGCCAGGAAAATCTCCAGAAGTCCACCTCCTAGTTTGGCCCATTTCATTTCATTATACTGCTGCTTTTAGTTTCTTTTTGAGTGTTCTTACTACTAATTTCACTGCTCAGGGCTGTTTGTATGGAGAGGTCACGTGTCACAAGACGCCTTGTAGACAGATGTTCAGGCTCCCCTTTTTGCTTTAGGAGTAGGGGAATCGTTTCCTTCTCCCTTGCATGAGATGGTGTGTACCAGGTCTTGGGGAGTCGAGGGCCTGGTTTTAGCTGTGGGTCAGAGGTGGTCTGAGGGTACTGTGGCTTCCTTCAGGCCTGAGGGCAGCACTGGGAAGGATACTCACCGGATTCCCCTTCCTGGTCCTCTGCCTACACTACTGTCTGCAAAGGAGGCTCTTAGGAACTTACGCTGCCACCAGGCAGTGAGGGACGCAATGCAGCCGTGCAGAGGTTGTAGCCTAGCCTTGTGGGCGGGCAGCAGGTGATGGAGTAGAAAACTGCAAACTGTCACACAGACTTCCTCTTCCAGACTCCGTTTGCCTGAGCTCATCCTGTCAGACCCCTTTCCAGCCTCTACAGCAATGAAAAGTTTATGTTTGAAAATTTACGACTACTACTATTTCTTTTAATTTTATTTATTATTAAGTATACGGTGTTCTGCCTGCACACCAGAAGAGGGCACCAGGGTGCGGGGAGTGATCGGCTGGCAGATTGTGCCGTCCACAAAAGCGTGGGGACCTGAGTTCAAATCCTAGTATCTATCTGTGTCATGTCAGCCAGCTCACAGCTATCTGTAATGTGGTACACACACACACACATGCACACATGCACGCACACACACACTGGGGGTGTGGACAGGGGAGGAGAAGGGGAACCAGGGATCTTCAATAACCCAATGGTTGAGTTTTTCCGACAGTGAAACCCACGAGGCCTGACTTGTCCTTCCCGGCCTCTACAGCCTGATGTTCCTTGTGTCTGCACTAGGAGTGAGCAGGGCCCTCAGAGCCTGGCCATGGTCATATCCCACTCACAAAACTACCTTCGTTTGCTTTGTCTCCCAGGTACAGGAGGCTGCCAGTCGGGGCTTGAAGTTCGTCGGTGTTGTTCCTCAGTACCAGTCCTCTGTGAACTCTGCGGGCAGCGGCCGTTCCGGGCCCATTGCCAACAGTGTTGCCGATGCCAGGGACGTGAAGCACGGCTTTGGGGACCATGCATCCTTGGAAAATGACATCCCAAAGGCTGGAGACATGCACCTAAGACCAGAGCCCAGCCCAGGCTCCACAGCAGACGCACAAAGTGCCCCGCAGCCTGGCATTCCCACTCCCTCAGAAGAGACAGAGGTTGGCGAGTTCCCGCTGCGGGTGTTGAACCCAACGCTGGATGGACCAGAGGGTGACCCCTCAAATGGACACGAAGAGATGCTCTCAAGGAGTAAGTGTTTTGACCTGCTTAAAGAGAGGCTAACAGCTCCTTAGGGCCTCTGAGGGAAAGAGAAATGGAACTAGCATGTAGGCACAACATCAAGCAAGAGGTTTATCAAGCAGCTAGCTCTCTGGGCTGCACAGCCGTTTACCTGCTGCAGCTGTGGATTGTGGGAGGAATGAAGCCGAGTGGGACAGACTTGCGGGGGCTCCTAAAGTGGTTCTAGATGAAATAGTCTCATGCCATGCTTTGGCGCCAGGCAGGCTTGCTTCTCCACCCTCTCAGAGTCAGTGTTTGTGAGTCACTCTTGGACAGTCCGCTTCTGATTATCCCCGAAACAAGGGTGTGAGAGCTGTGGAGGGCAGTGGTGTTCTGGGTGTTCTGCTTGCTAGAATGGATCCACCCTGGTTGCGGGGAGTGGGTACAGTTGTCGGTGGGCACCATGGAGATAATGCTCCAGCAGGCAGTGTGGGATTTCCTTATCTGTGCTAATGGCCATTGTATTGGTGATTTCCGTAGTAACGGCGTAGCTATAACAGCCAACATTTGTTAGGACTTCCTGTTTGCAGGCTCTGTGCCCGTCTTACGAGTCAGGTGAGCTCCTCCTACCACCTCTGGCTAGCAGCTGGCACACCTGGCATAGGACCACAGGTGGGGGTTGGCATCCATCTATGTCACCTGTCTATTTGGTCTTTCCTGCGTATTAGAATGATAAGATTTCCTGACGCCTTCTCTAGTTTTCATAGTTTCGTTTTCTTTTCTTTTGCCTGGAAGTCACATCCATCGAGTGAGGTCCCTATGTTAGCAATGGGGCCTCTTTGGCTTTTGGAAGGTGACCGTGAGTTGCCTGACAGCAGAATGCCCACAGAGCCTCGAGAGAGCATCTGTTGAGACCTTTCCGTAGCATGCCCCCAGTGACCGTTGCTGCCGTAATCACCAGTGCTTGGAATTGCCTTCTTGCAAGTGATTGGGTGCTCGGAGGTGGGAAACAGGTTTCTTTGGCTGCATCAGAACTTCGTGAGAAGAAAATTACTGGACACTCAGTTCTGAGATCTACTTTCAGGGTTGCTCTGAAGAAGAGGCTGGGGCTCGCTCAGTTCTCAGATGTAGTAGAGCTATCATTTCTTCAAGAGCTTGGTCCTTGGTTCACATGGGGTTTTGTTCCCCTGAGGTAGACTTCTGCCCCACCTGATGGATTTAGATCTGACGTGAGGCCCCTGAGAGGCTCCATCTTGGGGCTGGGGACTGTGCATGCTGAATTCTGAGGACCTTCTTCTGAGGTTGACCCTTGACCTGGCAGGCCTCTCCTAAGGCCCTTCTCAGATGTCCAACACCTGTTTCTGCCCTGTGGCTCCTTGCCTCCATCCGGGCCCAGGATCTCCTATGGCTGAATGTTGGGACCTCTCCCCTAACACCCAGAGCGCCTTGGCCTGCAGCCTCTGTTTCCTCAGGACTGTGCTTCTTCCGCAAACTCAAATCCTTCGAGAAATGGTGGATTAGTGTCATGGAGGACTCAGCCCAACTCTGAGTGGGAAGTGGGATTTCCTGCTAGTGAGAGGCAGGAGCTTCCCCAGGCACATGGAGCCCACAGCCACCTCCGCGTGCACATGGAGCCCACAGCCACCTCCGCGTGCACATGGAGCCCACAGCCACCTCCGCGTGCACATGGAGCCCACAGCCACCTCCGCGTGCACATGGAGCCCACAGCCACCTCCGCGTGCACATGGAGCCCACAGCCACGTCCGCGTGCACATGGAGCCCACAGCCACCTCCGCGTGCACATGGAGCCCACAGCCACCTCCGCGTGCACATGGAGCCCACAGCCACCTCCGCGTGCACATGGAGCCCACAGCCACGTCCGCGTGCACATGGAGCCCACAGCCACCTCCGCGTGCACATGGAGCCCACAGCCACCTCCGCGTGCACATGGAGCCCACAGCCACCTCCGCGTGCACATGGAGCCCACAGCCACCTCTGCGTGCACATGGAGCCCAGGCCCAGCCACGTCCGCGTGCACATGGAGCCCACAGCCACCTCCGCGTGCACATGGAGCCCAGGCCCAGCCACCTCCGCGTGCACATGGAGCCCAGGCCCAGCCACCTCCGCGTGCACATGGAGCCCACAGCCACCTCCGCGTGCACATGGAGCCCACAGCCACGTCCGCGTGCACATGGAGCCCACAGCCACGTCCGCGTGCACATGGAGCCCACAGCCACCTCCGCGTGCACATGGAGCCCAGGCCCAGCCACGTCCGCGTGCACATGGAGCCCACAGCCACGTCCGCGTGCACATGGAGCCCAGGCCCAGCCACCTCCGCGTGCACATGGAGCCCACAGCCACCTCCGCGTGCACATGGAGCCCACAGCCACCTCCGCGTGCACATGGAGCCCACAGCCACGTCCGCGTGCACATGGAGCCCACAGCCACGTCCGCGTGCACATGGAGCCCACAGCCACGTCCGCGTGCACATGGAGCCCAGGCCCAGCAACCTCTGCGTGCACATGGAGCCCAGGCCCAGCCACGTCCGCGTGCACATGGAGCCCACAGCCACGTCCGCGTGCACATGGAGCCCACAGCCACGTCCGCGTGCACATGGAGCCCACAGCCACGTCCGCGTGCACATGGAGCCAGGCCCTGCCTCCCAAGCAGCACGCAGACCTTGTCGTACCCTCGCTGTCTGGCCCACTCTATCAGCTGGCAAACACGAGTCACAGTGGAGGGCACTGGTCCAGTTTTCCCAGGTGTTATCTCAATTTCCCCTCACCACAAACTGTGACAGGAGATGCTGCTGTGACGCCCATGTCACAGATAAGGCAAGTTCCCTTCCTGAAGGCTGGATACCCAGGGGCCCTTTCTCCAGAGGTCATAGCCCTCATCTGACCCCAGCTTCTCTCCTGAGCATGTTCCCATGGAGTTTAACTGATCCCGCCCTGCCCGGGAAACGCCTAGGCAGCACCCAAAGGTCCCATACCCACCCCCTACACCTCTCCGCAGCTCTCCTCTTGCCTTTCTGCCAGCCCACCCCCAACCCCTATGGAGGTTGAAACATTTCTGCCAGGTGGGCAACCACAACAGACAACTAAAAAAGAGTTTAGAGGATGGATGCCCCCTCTCAGTCCCTCCCCTTCTTCTGTTAATTTGTTTCCTATGTAGGAGGCAGCTAGGAATGGATCCAGCCAGGGACAGTTCACAGTGGGCTTTGGGGGGCTTTAGGGAGAGCAGGTGAGCTGACCCCATCCCTGCACTGTGGTCCAGGAGTTATAGGGAGATCAGGTCGACTGATTCCGTCCCTGCATTGTGGTCCAGGAGTTATAGGGAGAGCAGGTGAGCTGACCCCATCCCTGAGTTGTGGTCCAGTTTTACCGTTTTGCTCAGGCCAGTCGCAGACATGTGAGCCACCTACCATGGGACCCTGGGGAGCGTAGGAATTCTAATGAAATGTGTCGAGGCCCTGTCACGGAGGGGGATGAAGACAGACAGGCCGGTGCACTTGGGGTTCTCTGCCAGCCTCGCCCTTCAGCCATCCTCAGCAGCGAGGCCTTCCTTGGGGCTCTCCCACATCTGGAACAGCCGCCAACTGGGGTCATGGCAGAGTTACAGGGCAGCTGAGAAAATTCAAACAAACTTGGGGCTCCTCTTCAGAACCCTTGGTCCCTGCTCTCAGAAGAAGTGGGCTGCAGTTTGGGGCCTCCAGAACATCAAAGCACACCATTCGTGGGCAGTTTCCCCCGGTTGTGAGTGGAAGAGCTGACTGAAGGACTGTGCGTCTGAGGTCGGGTCCCTCCCGGTATCTCGTCCCCGCAAGCCTTCTGTGGCTCCTCCTCCACGGCGTCTCCCTTTCCTTCCTGAAAAGTGTATTTCTGTCTCTAACTCCAGCCCTGCCTCCTGGGGAGGATGGAGTGTGGGGAGCCAATGATGCTGCCAGTCCTGCCCGCCCTGTCTGCAGTCCTCCCTCCTTCCCGCCCTGTCTGCAGTCCTCCCTCCTCCCTCTCCCCCTCCCCTAGCCTCCTCACTTCTCATTTCAGCCTTGCTCCTTCTCGGTTTCGTTACGCATTGGGGACATGGTATTTTTACCGCACCCTGTGAGTGGGCGCGGAAGGTCCTTCTGTGTGTTCAAGCACTGCCAGGTGTGGCCACAAACACATTCCCTCTGAGTTCTTGCTCATATTGCAGTTGGGCTTAACTGTAACGGCCTGCGGGGCTGTACTCTGGACCACACCCGTGGACGGTTCCGGCCAGCAGTGTCTCAGGAGTGACTTTTAACCCGGACGATGGGAGCCTTGGTTTCCTTGTCCCTAATGGATGTGTCTGAGGTGGGGTCTGCCAGTGGCCCTGCGTCCCTGAGGCGGCCCCAGCTGCCCTGTGCTAACCCGCTCTTTAATATGGCCTTCGTTTGTTCATCGCATTTCCACCCCCCCCCCTGCACTCCTTGTTCTGTAGGGCGTGTAGAATGTTCTGTGATAGCCATTCTTTTGATTATGTATGTAGCAAGCCAAAGTAAAATAGTAAACAGCACATAGATGCTAGGTAAGTAGGTAAACAGGCAGGCAGACGCAAAACACCTTTAAGCCAGGTGCTTACCACATCGGAAATCGGCAGAGGAAGATGAGGTAGGCAGCCGGGTTCCACCCTAGCTTCCTCCCCAGGACAGGGCTTCTCATGGCTGAACTGGCCCTCATTCTGCTGTGGGCATTTTCCCCTCATGGAATTAAACAGTAGTAACATCTGCTGGTAAGTTTGCATTCTGCTGTCCTCAAGCATAGTGTTTTTACTCTTGGGCTGTGCTGTTGTTCTTCCTTCCTTGTCACTAAGATGGGAGGAGACCCCATTCCCAGACAAATGCTCTGGAGGACACTTGACACAAGCATGCTTCCGTTTGACATAGGGGCAGGCAGACCCACCTCATGAGCTACTTTCTCGGTGAGCTCAAACAACCCGTGGTGATATGATATAAGTGACATTTGAGATAGGTTACGGCAGTATCAACGGCTCGTATGGGGCAATCTCGGCCCGCCAGATCAGGCTCTCCTCCTTAGCAGCTGCGTGTTTGTCAGTCTTCAGGTGCGTAGGACCAGAAGGCACCTGGTCACCCGCTCACTACTGCCCTAGCCTCAATCCCTGGCTTGTTCTGTCACAGCTTTCTGTCATGTCACCCATTCCTTCATCGTCACGGCATAGTCTAGTGATTGGATCTGCATGCACCAGGACCTTGCTTCTTGTTTGAAATCATTTCTGGGGTAGAAATGGCATCTTGGGTCAGGCAGGTGGACTGCAAAGCTGCTTGGGTTGGGGTTGGTGGCTGGACTTGCATTTGCTGCACGCAATGCAGGCGGCAGTTTCCAAAGGCAGCACTGGTTCTGTTGGGTAGGCTAACTTGATTAAACTCCTGGCCGGTTTAGCTGTTGATGGCAACAGGTCTCATGGCTCAGGACCTTACAAGTGCTTGATCAGATGGGGCCGGAGGATTTCCTCTGTTCTAGAATGCATCTCTTACAAGAGAAACTTTTCACGTGTTATGAGGATGAATATGTTTGCTTCTGTTACTTCCTGGCCCTGCCTGGCAGTATAGCAAGCTGGAGTGGTTTTGCTTTCATGGTCAAGAAGCAAACACTCTTTTTAAATCCTCTTATTTAATAAAGGCAAGTGAGCCAGTTCAAAAAAGAAACCAATCAATGTATGTGGGGTTGGATCCCTGGATATGAGCGCTTGCTGTACAAGCATGACAACTTGGGTTTGGGTTCCCAGAAGCCAAGTAAAGAGCCAGGTATGGCTACACATACCTGTGACGCCAGCATTGCAGGGTAGAGTCGGCAGAGCCTGAATGGCAAGCTTAGTGAGTGACGGCATCTCAAGGCAGTTGGCAAAAAGCCACAAAGCAGACACCCAATGCTGTGCTTGCACGTGTATGTGCATTCGAGTGTGCATATGTGTGCTCACATGCACACACACACACACACACACACACACACACACACCAGGTAGACCTTAGATACCACCCAAGAGTCGAAATCCTGAACTTTGAGAGCCTCCATCCCAGAGTGTCCCATGTCCAGAGCACACGTATGATTTGTCCTTCTCCCTAATGCCAACCACTCCTTATGACCTTTGTATTTGCTGTTTGAAAGATGGCGAGGTTTTCATATGACCTCAAACAACGTCTTTGGCAGCCAGTGTGTATTCCTAGCCAGCCTGTGGAAGGAAGCAAAGCTTTCTAAGCTGGGCCAGCTCTGATAGCCCAGCTAAATGAATGGTGCAAAAATAGACTCTCCAGTGTAGATCGAAATTCCAGGTATCTGCTCCTGGCAGCGGTTCCCGCTAACCGCAGCTGGCAGCAGGAACAGCGGTGCAGATCAGTGGCGGGGGGAGGGGATGCGATTATTGATTTCTGGGCTATAAATGAAAGAACCAGAGCTCCTAGCTTCACGCCCAGGGCCTGCCTGGCTGATTGAGCTGACCTGCTACTCCAGGCAGGAACCCCCATTTACAGGAACGTATTTATTTTTACATATCAATGTACTTGATTGAGTATTATGGGTTTGGCCCCAGGAAACTCTCCTGCCATTTATAAATAGCAAGTTCAGGGATGTAAAAAGGTTCCTGGAATTAGGGAAGTGTTTTTCTTTTTATGTGTCTCCTTTTTTGTTTGTTAGTTGTTTTTAAGGCTATTACATTCACTTTGCAAATACTTATGTGCGCATTTCTAGAAATATACTTCTTCCAGCTGCTTAGCAAGGCAAATTAGTTCCAAGTAGCAGGCATCCTTTATGTTTCACATTGGAGATGGAGTTCCAGCTTGGGATGTAGAGTGTTTGCCTAACAGGCATGAGGTGGGCTCTATCTCCAGAACCCCCTAAACTGAGTGTGACATTCTCCTGTGATGGAAGCACCCAGCCAGCAGAGGCAGGAGGATCCTAAATTCCCTTTGAGTCCAGCCTGAGGTGCATGAAACAAAAGTCATGGCAGCCTCCATCCAAAGTGCAAAGTTTGGGGTCCTTGTCCCTTTGAAGCAACTTTGAAGCTGCTGGACATGGAGTTTCATTGTCTGGCAAGCGTGGGCCTCAGGGATTCACAGCTGATACCGTTTCTCAGGCTCCAGGGAGATCCCACCGAACCCAGCGTGGCAGATTTGTTCTGTGGGCTAACCTGTTCTCTCTCCATCCTTCTCCCAAATCCCAACAGAAATGGAGATCTTCGCCTTTTTCAACAGACCGAAGAGCCAGCAGAAGTGTGGACAGTACTATCCCGTCACCATCCCCCTCCAGGTCTCCAGGAACGGCCAGACAGTGAGCAGTTTGGACGCCAGCTGGCTGGAGCACATGAGTGACCATTTCCGGAAGGGCGGGGTGCTGGTGAATGCCGTCTTCCACCTTGGCATGGCCAACGGTAGGGAATGCCTTACGGCCCCTTTTGTTCCCGTGGTCTCTTCTTTCCATCTTCTTCCGCCCAGAAAGCCGCATGGTCAATAAACACCAGCATTTGATTCCTAATTAGCCCATCTCAAGCAGATCTCCTAAAGGCTAGACCCTCCGGGAAGTTGGTGTCCTCTCAGATGAACCTGGTGGCTTTGCCTCACTGGTGGTAGCTTCCATCTTCGTTGCTTTTGAGATGACTACCTGGGACTGCTGATTACCCCCGGGACCATGCCAGTGCACATGGCTTGTGGACGCTGTTGCAGTCTGAAGGAGCAGGAGCAGCGCCCGGGAGCTGACAGCAGGGACAGAGGCAGCACCTAGCTCAGGGAGCTGTTGCTGGGACACAGGCCTCCTGGTCGCAAGCGCCCAGCACTCTGCCCCAGATGTGGGCTCGTCCCTGGGGCTTTGCTGTGTGAAATAGCGCTAGTGATGCCAGCTTTTGAGGCGGGGGAAAGTCTGTCCCAGTGGGCAAAGATTTTGAGCCGAGGAAGGGTTGGGGGAAACATGGTGGTGGATTGAGTTTGGGGTGGGGCTGGTGGCATGGACAGGTTCCCGGGTTGTGAGTCAGCAGAACTCCCAGGGAGGTGAGATGGAACGGGAAACTTGTGGATCCAGTAGAGCCCCTCAGGGCCACTGACAGCAGCTTTGATGCTGTGTAGCTTCTCAGGTAGCAGCAGGGCCGGGAATGGAGTTTGGATTCTGCATTATGTGTGCAGTGCCAAGCAAGCATCCTTAGAATAGAGAACGCACTGTTGCGAGTGTGAAGGCTCTGGCGACTCGAAGCCTGGGCGATGATGAAGCAGAGACAGGTCTAAATTTCGGACGCAGCGCCCTTGCTTATTTCTGTTTGACTACCGTCAACAGGTCATTATAGCAGCAGCAGGCATGGTGAGTGGGTGGATGACATTAAATGACCGAGTGACCTAGAAAAGCATCTAGAACAATGCAGTCCAGTAGAACTTTCTATGATGGTGGAATGTTCTGGATTGTTCTACCGCCTGTGGTAGCCACCAGCCATCTTGGGCACCTATGACCTAGAAACTGGATTTTACAGTTTATTTTGCTTTCATTCACTTAAATTTGAGTAGCTGTGTGTCTCTAGTGGATTTGGGAGTGCAGTTCTGAGGACACATTTTGCTAGCTTCCATTCCCCAGCAGCGGCAGATCTAGTAGCTCCTTGATATGCACCTCTTTGGGTGGCTCTGTGTCCTCTGGAGCCGGGGTTGTCACACAGCAGGGGCAGTCGGTACCTGAAGCAGGTGTTCCTCTCCAGTTCATCAGTCCTGGGGATGCCAGAGAGGACGTCTCAACTCCAGCCTTTTTAGGGACACTGGCGCTTAGGTTGGAGCAATAGCTGCTCTTCTCTATTGTCTGGGTGGCCAGGCAAAGTTTTACATTTCTCTTCAGAAAACCTATGGCTACTTGTACTAACACCTGAAAAGACGCATGGCTGATAGAAGCTACTCAGAAGGCTACTGGCTAATTGTTTTTCTCTTCATAGCAAAATTGGGGTATCAAAAGAGATGTCTTTGAGCCCAAGAGAAGAATACCATGCAGGCTCCCAAAGCAGCTGATTGTGTCATGATAAAAGCTCAGTGGACTTCTAAGTTCTCCCCTCACCTCTCACCTCTGCCCTTCCCTCATCTTAACTCTCCCCTCCCCTCAGCTCTCCCCTCCCCTCAGCTCTCCCCTCCCCTCAGCTCTCCCCTCACCTCTCACCTCTGCCCTTCCCTCACCTCAGCTCTCCCCTCACCTCCCCCCACCTCAGCTCTCCTCACCTCAGCTCTCCCTTTATCTCAGCTCCCCTCACCTCAGCTCTCCCTTTATCTCAGCTCCCCTCACCTCAGCTCTCCCCTCCCCTCAGCTCTCCCCTCCCCTCAGCTCTCCCTTTACCTCACCTCAGCTCTCCCTTTACCTCATCTCAGCTCTCCCTTTACCTCACCTCAGCTCTCCCTTTATCTCAGCTCTCCCCTCCCCTCAGCTCTCCCTCCCTCAGCTCTCCCTCACCTCCCACCTCTGCCCTTCCCTCACCTCAGCTCTCCCCTCACCTCCCCCCACCTCAGCTCTCCTCACCTCAGCTCTCCCTTTATCTCAGCTCCCCTCACCTCAGCTCTCCCCTCCCCTCAGCTCTCCCCTCCCCTCAGCTCTCCCTTTACCTCACCTCAGCTCTCCCTTTACCTCATCTCAGCTCTCCCTTTACCTCACCTCAGCTCTCCCTTTATCTCAGCTCTCCCCTCACCTCAGCTCTCCCCCCCACCTCAGCTCTCCCCTCACCTCACTTCCCAGGCCTGTACCACAAAGCACAGGGATTTGCAGGGGCTTTAGTTTGGCCTCACACAAGCAAAAGGCTCTCACAGCCTCTCCTGGCTTTAGCGGCATCAAACCAGCTTTCCTTCTTTGAAGACAAATTGTGCAGTGTCCGCTGTCATGACAGTCCCTGCAACCCAAACCACTGCAGTGGAGGCTGCCAGGCAGTGAGCGCCCTGAGAGCCTGGGGTGGGACTCAGGCTTGAGAGCACAGAGCGAGGCGGGCGCAGCCTTGGTGGCTTAGTGGAGAGGGTGGCTCTGCTCTAAGAAGGCTGAAGGTCTCCACTGGCCAGGGAAGAATGGGCACCTGACCTTTCCCCAGAATTAAAAAGAAAAGTCACGCTGAGCATCATTGCCAGTAACCTGGCAGGGGAGCACCAATCTATCTGTCCTGACTTCTAAATGGCGATTTCATTTCCTTCAAAAAATGTTTTCCACAGAGCTATAAAATTAGCAGAAACTGTGTCCTGCAAATAAGGTTAAGCCTCAGTCTGAGACACTTGGTGGCTCCAGCGTGTATTCCTGCCTCCCAGGGTCTAGAAGGCTTCGTTCAGTGACAAAAGTTGGGTCTCTGCTCTGGGTTAGTTTCTGTGTGTGTTTTTAAATACCCGGATGGGCGTGATGCCACCTAGGAGTCGTGATTGGGTTCATATTCTGGGCCACTCAAAGAATTAAAAGGCAGGAATTCAAAGGCATCACAGGTAGCGGCAGGGAAAGCCAGAAATCAACTGTTTGAAAGGAGCGGGGAAGGGGATTTTTATTAGGGAAACACACAGAGCTGAGCACGCAGGGCGGGCGAGCTTCCTGTAGAGCAGGGACCCAGACTCTCGTCTTTCCTCGCGGGCTGGTTTCCTCGATGTTTGACATGTCCTCGTCCCCTAATTTAAGGCTGGTCAGCTTGAACACGGATAGGGAAGCCGGTGGGCCCACAAGGTTGAGGTAGGCGTGGCCTTGTGGGTTGAGCTTGTCAGGCTGGTCTGGGGGCAGGGCAGGCCGCCGGGCCTTTGTCTCAGCGTGAAGAAGAGGAGGAAAGTTTGCTGTATTTGTTATCTGCTTGTGGACCCATCCCTGTCTGCCTGCTAGGGACCCACTAACTCCAAGTCCCTTGGGCGGGAAGCACGAGGGCGATGGCCCTTTCCACGGCCTGCTATTCCCTCCCCTGTGGCTGCTTCTTGATCTGGAGGCAGCCCCATGAGCCTGAGAGCCTGTATTTGTGGGAGAGCGGAGGAAACGAGGAAACGGAAGTTCTCCCAGCTACACGGTGTGAAGGAAGTGGGCAGAAGCAGGGAAAGAGCACGGGGCGGGTGGGGGGGGGGGGGTAGGGGGAGTGGGGGGGTGGCAGGTGTCCTGGCGGGAAGTGCACTTTGGGCGGCCCTTGGGGTGGCAGAGGAGGGCCCCAAAGCCTCCCAAGAGAGCAGCAGGGATGAGCTCCGGGACTGTCGGGTGGGCCCCAGGGTCTCTCCAGTCGCGAGTGTGCTTCTGGAAGGGAGAGAAGGGAAGGCCTTGTGCTCATCTGGTGGAGTGGGGAGTTGAGTAGGTTCCAGAGCTGGGGGCAAGGTCAGGGGGTGGCTGGGCATTTACACCTGCAGGCACTCTGGGTAGGGACATCTTCCTGTGGCTCTGGGCCTGCCCTCAGTAGGCAGCACACCCCACCTACCCCCACCCCCCCACCCCCATTCCACCCCATGGCGTGCTGCATAGTCAGTCATTACGCCCTGTGTCTGAAAACTGTCCCTCCTGCTGACTGTTGCAACAGGACCCCAGTCCAGCAGTGCTCTGACCAGGACAACTGCCTGGGTGCTTTCGTTCCTGCCTGCTGCTGGACGTGACACAGCTTCATGTCCACGGAAAGGCCTGCATCGCGATGCACGCATCAGTGCCTCTTGGTGCCCTTTCTGCCTGTTTTTCTAGCCACTGTTTCCCGTAGAAGGTAGTTCTAGAGTCTGGCTAAAGGAAGACTTGACTAGAATATATTCTGGGTGATGTGTTCTGTCCATTGCATCACACAGGGGTCACCTTTTTGTTGTTTTGTTTTTTATTCTTTCTTTTTTTAAAACTTTTCTGAGACAGTGTTTCTCTGTGTTTTTGTTGATGGAGGTCTCTTGTCCCACCCGGTCCCGCCTATCCTCAGCCCCAACTAAGCACACAGAGACATACATACATTGTTAAAGTGTTGGCCAGTGACTAGGGCTTCTGTGTTTATGGGCATGCCCCCAGTGACCTCCAGCTAGGCTCTATCTCTTCAGTCCCCCACCGCCTCCCAGAGATGCTGTCACATTGTGACTTCATTGGTAAACCTATCTGTAGACGAAGCCTCAGCCTCTGAGACACAGTTGCTCTCCAAAGTCCCACCAGATGTCAGTCAGACTGTCGCCACGAGCCTTCAGGGAACATTGCACATCACACTTGGTACATGTGTTCCATGTAAAATGTCTATGTGTCATACAAACTTCATACAAATACCTTACAAGACCTTACCCAGGGCCTACCCCCTTTGTGTTTAGGATGGGAGAGCCTGAACCCCGAAACTTCAAAGCAGAGCGAGTGACGTACAGTGCGTGTGATAACGAAAGGGTCTTGTGAGCCTCATCCATGGCACGATCATGTGCCCTCAGACACCACTTGGTTTATTGTAGTGGCTCAATAAATATTTCCTTATGTTGG